ATATAGTATGAAAATTTTCAAAATTAACCCATTACTGGTAAACGTAACTCACATTAGCTCTGGACCTCTCCAGAAAAGCACGAGTGCAGGAGACATGCGCTGTGGAACTGCCCAGCTCAGGGTGTTTTATCGTGTCTGGAAGTTTTCCCTGTTCTTGCAGCTGGACCTGTAGCAGCTGTGTCTTGATTCCCTGACTCTGCCTCTCACACCATAGCTGGCTGATCCAGGGGTGGTGCATTCCTGGCCCCAACTGGCCTGTCAGACTTTTTTCCCCAAAGAGTTTGTAATTTTAGTGGAAAAAAATTGGAACTCACTGTAGCCAGATCACATTAAATCCATGAACTGTATCTGAGGTCTCCAAAGGTGCTTTGGTTCCAGTTTCTGTTGAGACTTGTTAAACTTTTGGGATTTGTTGTTGTTTTACCTTGGATGAAAAGTGAAATTGAAGGATGATAGGTGGAGCACAAGAGGATTTTTTGGGGCAGTGAAACTACTCTGTATGATACTATAATGGTGGACACATCAGTGGTCGTTATGCATTTGTCTAAACCCACAGAACATAAACCACCAAGAGTGAACCTTAATATAAACTACAGGCTTACAAAAATAATTTTTTTAGTGCAAACCTTAGAAACTTTTTCAAAAAAGATGTTTCCAAGTAACCTGTTGTGGAAATTGGTATTTGACATTGAGGTTATATTTTAAAATTAAAATCAGCTTATTGCTAGTAGGTGGAAATACAAGGGTTCAAGAGGAGAGAGCCATTTACCACACATTTTCAAGGGAGATTTTGAATGTGGCATTTCTTCTGAAATTTTTTCAATGAAATATGCTTATTTTAGTTCAGTGATTCTTGGTAGATCTCAGAAAGAGCAGTCCCACTTGCCAGAGTGCCCTCCAGAAAATTGTGAGGGTATTTTGACTGTTACAATGGATAGAGATGCTGCTGAGTAGATGTCCTATAGTGTCTGAGATGGTTCAACTCAGTGAAGAGTTGTTTTGCATCCCCCCTGGTTTTTTGCATATTCCCCCAGGCTAAACCTCTCTACAAATATAAATTGACAGTTTTGTAGAACATATTAATACCAAAAAACATTCATGAGAAATTAAAAAGCTTATTAGAAGATGGTCGTTGTCTTAGTTTTCTATTAGTGCATCAGAAAATACCAGCTTAACAAAATAACAAAATTTAGCAACTTAAAACAACACTCATTATTAGTTCATGGTTCTGTAAGTCAGAAGCTGGGCTTTGTTCTGTTCTCTGCTCAGGGTCTTACATGACTGAAATTAAGGTGTCAGCGTGGCTGACTGGGAGCTTTGGGGAAGAATCTGCTTCTAAGCTCATTTAGCTTGTTGGCAGAATCCTCTTTCTTGTGGTTTTGAGACTAAGGTCCGCATTTCCTTGGTGGCTGTCAGCTAGAGGTCACTCCTAGCTCCTAGAGGCTGCTCTTTGCATATGGCCCCTTCCATCTTGGAAGCTAACAATGGCTCGCGGACTCCTTGTTCTTTGAATATCTCTGACTTCCCATTCTTCCACCAGCCTGAGGATAACTCTGCTTTTCAAGGGATCATTTGGTTGAGTCAGGCCTACTCATGTAATCTCCATATCTTAAAATCAATTGATTTGGGACTTGGATTACATTTGTAAAATCTCTGTACTGTAGTACCTAGATTAGTGTTTTATTAGATAACGAAGGAACAGGAATGGGGGGGAATTATCTTTAGAATTCTGCTTACCACAGTTTTTGTGAAGAGGGAACCTAAGTGTAATAAAGAAATCTCAAAATAATTGAGTAATATGTTCACTCGGCACACTGTGTTCTCTAAGTATTATACATTTCTGGCTTGCATATTTAGTTGAAAAGGATTTCAGTGCAATAGTGTTGTTACTGCAAAAGCAATGAAAGAAACATTGAAAATATGTGACAGGAGATTTGAGATTTCCTGTTCAGACTTCAATTATTAAGTTAGAGACACATGAAATGCAGGGATCTTACTGGATTTCTTTAATATGGACTATTTTAACAATATTTTATATTATTGCCTTTTGGGAGAATTACTATAGTTTTTTAGTTTTATCCTAAAACTATCCCCAGTCTATTACACAACTGCTTTATTACCTCTTATATTACTTTTTTCCCCCTAATCCACCTTCTCTGCCTCATCCCACCATTCAAAGAAAATGGTCTCCAAGATCTTTTTACAGACTAGACACTGTATATCTCAGCGGGATTTCAAGGCAGAAAGATAGGTTTTTTTGTGGTAATTTCTTCTTACTCCATCCTATGACTTAACCTAGGGTCTTACTTTGGCACCACATGTAGAAACGTAAGACCTAGCTCATTTGCAATAATGTACTTCCTCATTTTCTCTGTTTTTACTATTTACCATGGCACATTATTCCAACTTCACTTAAGATTACGTCCCTTTTTCCATTATTACTTTAATAATATTTTTATAGTGTTGCTCTGCACCTCTGCTCTTTTATTTTCCTATACTCGCGCAAAGTGGTTTCTGATATTGTTATTTTTGAATTCAAACTTAATCATTATAAGTTGGTACATACATCTGACTGCTTCATTATGTCATATGTTTCCAAACATTTATATACTGAAATAAATATTTTCAATAAGTTACTTTATTTTTTATGTATCTGTTAAGACATTGTATTTCTCTGAAAATTTTGTGTAGGCAGGTTATATCATCTATGAATTTCATTCAGGATAGTAAAGGAGGCATTATAAAATATATGTGATTAAAAAGGGGAGATTAGGTCTAATGGGACTAAGACATGCTGTTCCATAATGCAGAGAAAATGTCATTGCCCTTAAACACTACATATCCTTTCTGCAGTGTCCTGTTGTTGATCAGTCTGGATGTCTTGCCACATACATAGATAGAACAGGTTTTCTGTCTAGGCACTATCTGTCTTGCTTCAAAGCATGTTCTTCATTCATGTCTTCCATTTCTCATTTTAATCTACATATATCTTTTAGTTTTCTTCAACTTTGCAGCAAGAGGTTCAGCTTGTTTTATAATATTCATACATTTGAGATTCGTAGTTTTTTTCTGGAAAAGTTAAGGTTTAGAATATAGTAATTCTTTTTATTCTCTTATCAGTTATCAGCAAATTTATGCAGCTTGATTTTTTTAATCCCAGCTGCCCCGACTCCGCAAAAAACAATTTAATAAAATACCGTAATCCCCCCTTATCTGTAAGAAACGATCCCAGTAGATGCTTGAAACTGTAGATGGTACCAAACCTTATATATACTGTTTTTTCTATACATACATACATTCATACCTTTTCATGTAAAAGAAGCACTTAACAGCTTCTCTTTGGCATATTCAAATTGTCAGCATCACTATTCTTGTGCTTTGGGGCCATTATTAAGTAAAATAAAGGTTACTTGCACACAAACAATTTAATATGGACTATTTTAATAATATTTCATAAAATCACCTTTTGGGAGAATTACTGTAGTTTTCCAGTTTTATCCTATGACTACAACAGTCAATCTGATAACTGAGAAGGCTCCTAAGTGACTGATGGGTGGGGAGCATATACAGTGTGGAGACGCTAGACAAAGGGATGATTCATGTCCCAGGAAGAATAGAGTGGACAGTGAGAGATTTCATCATGCTACTCAGAATAGTGCACAATTTAAAACTTATGAATTGTTTATTTCTGGAATTTTCCATTTAATATTTTCAGACTGCAGTTGACCGTAACTGAAATCATGGATAAGGGGGGACTGCTGTAAGCGTTTTTGAGCAGTCTTATCAAGCATGTTTTAGATAAAATAAGTCTTGTCAAATTATGGCCTCTGTAGATATTTTATAAAACTAATGTGAAATGAAATACTATGGTAGAAAAATCAGTAGAGGAGAAGTAAAACCTAGGGTCTGGATCCTGGACATCACTTACTGCCTTGGGCAGGTTCTGCAGCTTCTCTGAGCCTTGGTTTTCTCATCTCCATGTAGTGATAACTGCCTTGCCTATCTACCAGGGTAATTGTTAGGATCAAACTACATAGTGACTGCTAGAGAAATGTGAATTCTAAAATGCACTACAATAACTGTTAGGTCTTACCATTTAGAAAAGCTTTCGTCATTAAATCTATCTTTACGATGGCTTCAAATTATTTCTTTACTACCGCCACCAAGGTTAAAGCAATGCCATATACAGGATGAATTACAGGGGGACTTAGAAGAACCTCTTTGGCCCGTTCGATGGCCATTGAGATGAGGAGATAGCACTGGAATAAAGAGAAAAACCAGGGACGACAGATACCAGAAGTATTGGCAGGACTTGGAAATCAGTTGGACTAGGGGGTGAGAGGAAGGAAAAAATGATTAGACATGAGAGTCTAGGAGGTTAGTGATCATGACGCATAGCAGGTATGAAGGAAGGAAAAGTTGTGATTACCATTGAGGCATGCCATGTTTGAACTGCTGCTGTGCACCTAGGTGGAGACTTCCAAAGGCAGTTTGGAACGTGGGCCTAGTGCTCAAAGAAATCTAGGGTTAGAGACTAGACCAGGAACACTCCTGAAATGAGATCATGAAATGAGACAAGATAGGAACAAGGGTGGAGCTTTGCAGAATGATTGTCTGTACTGAAGGGGCTGCCAGACAAAAGGAGCCAAGAAAAGCTCATCTGACTCTGTGTTCTATAGTCTGTGACAGTTCTGTAGAATATGTGACATGGGAGATATACACTTAATGCTCTTATAAGTTTATATTTTATACAAGAGATCCTTGACATCTGTTAGACTACTGGGTGAGATTTACTTTTAGGAACTCTTCCACAGATAAACTAAAGAAAAAAACAATGAGAATTTATACTATAGCCAAGTTTAAAAATGGAATATTTATTTTTCAAATTCAATACTGCTGGCAAACACTACTCTATTCTTACTGAAAGGCTAGTTTATATGAAATAAAGCTATAATGTTATTGATTTTTGCTAATTCTCTTTTTTCCTCTTTTTCCTCTAGATTTTACATTGTGCAATGGGTAAGTATATAATTATCCCCCTTACTATGTACCATGAGCTCTGCTTTTTTTTTTTTTAAGTCATTAATGGTAGGTGGATTGGATTCTTATTGAATATTGAAAAAACTACTTAATCATTATATATAAAATTGCTTAAATTGGTATAGTTTTCGGTTTCTAAAATTATCGATACTATTTAGATGTTATCACTGAACATTTTATTAACCGTCACAGCTATTTTGCTTTGTCAATTTAAAGAGGCATCTCCTACCTTCTCATTACAGGGGTAACAGAGAAACTAGTATATTTATAAAAATGGGACTTGGGGTCCTGGTGCTATAGAAAGCCCTCTCTGTGATCACTTAAATATTAGAGTCTCTTTTACCTTTAAAATGGGAGTTCTGCATATATTGCCTACCTCCTAGATGAATATTAATGTATGTGAGAGATACTGGAAATGTGTAAGTATAGTTATACAAATGTAAAGGATCTCTGCTAAAAGTAGTTACAGTGCGATTTTTTTGGTGGGGGTAAAGAGGAGGTCATCAGATTCTGCTCTGGGACTGAGGCGCAGCTTCTAGTCTGGAGTGGCTAAACTCTCTAAATGGAAATCAACTTGGAAAGTCAACAGAACCTATAGAGTAAGCCCATAGTGGTTGCTATGCATCCAGACTTGTACCCTGAAGGGAGAATTTGAAGTTGGTACTCATTCAGAAGCACTGAAGGTCTGAAAACTCAAGAACTATGCATCTAAACTATTATGGCCCTGATCAACTTAACTCACAAATCAGGTGGGTTTTTAATATATTCAGGGCACTGCACACTGCTTTAGAACCTTTAAGCAGTAGTTTTGAAAGAGACTTGGGGAGCCATCTGTCACATGGTTTGTTTTCCCAGAAAAGGTTAAGCGACCTGGTGCAGGTCACACAGCCAGTAAATGGTGGAACCTTGCTTGAACCTACCTTGAACTTAGCCAGGACCTCCCTGATTTGATTTTCTGGTATATAATCTCACATATATTTCGTTTTTAATCCTTGATCTACAATTTTGAGATGAAAAATTCGTCTCTTCTCAAATAGTTTAATGAATTTGAAGCTTAAGCTTACAGATTGAGAGATATATTTGCCCTGCAAGAATTCTGGAACCGTTTCAGGCTTTCTCCACACACTGAAGCCTGTACCCCCATTCTCCCCAACTCTTTTAACCTTTAGCTGCCTACAAAGCTCTTAGATGCATGTTTTCTGAGCATGTGTACTACTAAGTTGATGTTTCATTCTATTAAAATACCTCAATTTCCTTTGTCTTAGAATATATTCTCATACCTTTTTATAAAATTTCTACCCGTGGAAATAAAGCCTCTGACAAGAATATTTATTCATTCAGACCAGGAACATTCCTGAAGGCCTAGCAGATAGGTGCCAGACTCTGTTGGGCAGTGGGAGTAGAGAGGTGAGCAGGCATAGGCAGCCTGCAGTCGGCCCCTCGAGTTCCTCTGGCGTTCCATGGACTAGCATCCATGTCACACTCTGTTCTGATGGTTTGTTGACAAGTGTCCCCTAACACTCAGTAGATAATAATTCCTTATTTCTTTAAGAACCTTGTTCTGTCAGTGATTCTCTCTCCCACATCATCACCCTTTGTCATCTGCCTTTTCCTTTTCAGCTCACAAAATGCTGAGTACTCCATCCTAAGAATAATTTTTAACCTTTAACTCTACATTCCTTTCTTACAATTACATAATTCAGACTCTTTCTACTTCCTCAGTCCCATTTATACTTTAACCCAACAGTCAGGCTTCTGCCCTCATTGTCTTACTAAAATTGCCCTCTTGTCTAAAATCAGCAACAGTTTCTGTTAAATTCCGAGGACACACATCAAACTTCACTAGACTTCTGAACTACACAGGGCACCACCGATGACTCCCTCCCTGAGATCTTGCTCCTTTAGCTTCCATTATATGAGCCCTCTTGGCTTTTCTTTTCTCTGTGGTTCTTTTCTTTCCTTGATGATTCTGAGCATATCACTTTCCTTCTTAAAACTCTTCTCTGGTTTAAACTTCACGATTTGGGTTCTGCCCACCTCCCCAGCCTTACCTATGTCCATTTCCTGCCTTTCACTCAATGCTTCAGTAACCCTGACCTCATGGGTCCCCCCATGTACCACGCTACTGCACTACTTCCTGCCCCCGGTCTGTGCCTAGGCTTTGTGCTCTGCCTAGAAGGAACAGCTGGCGACTGCTCACTATTCTTCCTGTAGTAAACTCCCTTACCGCCCACTGGCTAGATTAGGTACTATTCCTCACTTTTCCTGTAATACTCTACACCTTACTCTTTAATATCCTTTCTATAATGTATTATGGTCTGTCACTCTACCTCTGTCCTCCACCAATACCACTGAATTTTTTGAGAATGAGAACTGTTTCTGTTGATTTCTGTATCCCAACACCTAACAGTACATGGCACCTAGTGGGAACACAGTGACCATTTGATCGTAATCTTACCAAATTCTGGTAACAATTCCCAAAACTTACTTCAAAATGTTTTCAGGTCCTTAAAAAATTAATGAGGCTAATAAATAGGCCGTTTCTAGCATTAACCTAAAGGCAGTGCTTTGATTTTGCTCATACAATTTAAGTTTATTTTTGGAATGATGGTTTATTTTCCTGTGGCTTTCTGAAAGTTTTCACTATAACAACTTAGTCTTAGAAACTTGTTACAGAGCCTTGAGCTGTCTTTACATACTGTTGCTGGAAAGTCTGGACTTCAGTCAGACCCAGGTTTTTTACTAGCCGTGTGACTTCTAGAAAGTAAAATTTTATGTGCCTTCATTTCTTCATCAATTAAAGGGGGATAATAATACCTACTTCATAGGAATGTTGTGAAAATGAAATGGGCAATGCATGAAAAACAGCACAATGCCTGAAACATAGTGACGCTGAAAATTGCTCAATAAAATGGCACTAACTAAAGCAATGTAATGTTACAGAATGTTGTTTTATTCTGTCCCTGATGTAATGTTTAGTACTTAGATTTATACAAATTTGACTCTTACATAGTCTTACTTAAATTACCATTTCAGTGTAATTGAGGACCACTTATTCTTAGGATGGGTTGGAGTTGCTTCTTGTTCATGGTTGTGACAATGCAACTTGGCAAAAGTAGCCTCCAGAAACAGTAAACTGAAATTCCATGTGAGAAGCTCTTTTCTCTCTTTGCCAATAGGTTCCCAGGCCCCACCTTCTTCAAAGTAGGTTGCCTGTTCTCCACTGATAATGTAGGGACAAGATTTCTCAAATGCTATGGTTGCAGCCCTCAACCTAAAATTTGTAGTGCTTTATGTTTACACAGTAGTTTTCTTTTTTGGAAATGGACTTTTTTAAGAAACTCACTTCGAGACATGTCTTTCACAAGCCTGTAAAGAAGAGTTGTGCTTTCTTTATTCATGTAGTTACAGTTTGTATTGAAAGAAGTATAATCTATGTTTCATGTTGTTCAGGATTAGATTGTGGAAGATGCATATGGGATCTGGGGTGGTTCTCAGGTGACTTTGGAGTGTAGTTTCTCCCCTTGTTGAGATGGGAATTAGAGGTAGAAGGACTGGAACCGAAGATACTCTTGGTAAGATGTGACATTGTGCACTTGGTGAAACTTCATGGTGGAAATTATACTGTCAATATAAATAACTTGGGAAGTTCTCTTTGGGTCGAAAACCGTAGAACAGATATCTGAACACGAGCTCAGTCATAGCCCAGAGGGTATTATGTACAAAGTTGAGTATTAGCACTTCGATTTCATCAACAGACAAGAGCAGAAGGCCTTTCACTTAAATATCCTGAACTTGTGGTTTTAAATATTTGCTGTATGTGCCAGCTTGCAGTCCTCTCTCAAACTGACGACACCTTTTATTTAATTATTTTTTACAAGTACATCTTAAGAAATTTGCAGTCACCTCAATATCAGTAGGTAGCATATGGCTTCAGGCTGTTTCTTCACACAGGTGGTAACAGATGGTGCCAGGAAGGAAGGAGAGCAGCTGCTGGGGAAACAAGCACCACAAGCCCCATCTCCTCCTACCAGAAATGTTTTCCCTCCCACAAATTCAAGTGAACTAAATCCTTTCTAAACTGTAGCACCTCCTCCCCCACACTCCACTCAGGGTCAAGCTTTTATCGGTCACTTACAGTGCAGTGTTGTAAAAAGGAACCACTGTCACTTATTAAAACCAGACACAGAACCCTCGGTGTTTTAGCAGAAAAGAACTCTGGAAGGGAGGCTTCCTGGAAGAAAGGGGTGATGCCTCCAGATTCGCTCGCCTGGAATTCTGCTTTCACCCCTTACCAGCCCTCACGAGTACGCCCGGGCATAAAAACATCACTGCTTTCCTTGAACTTTCTTTGAACAAAAACTGCTTTCTTTTGTTCCACTTAGCTTAGCTGACTTTTTAAAAAATGAATTTTACCAAATAGGAAGAATAAAAAGGGAATAAGTTTCAAAAAATACAACAGTATAAAAATAGTCACGTTCCCAAAGTACAAGTTTCTGATCCTGAGATCTGATTCCTTCTCTTTTACCGGAAACTGACACCCATAGACCTTGCTGTCTCTTTTCTGCCATACTCTTAGCATCCTCAGTTCTGGGAACCCTCTTCCCCAAGCGCATTTATCTAGCCTCCTCACAAATGTGAATAAAAAAAACACTTGTTAGTCAGATTCAGATGTTGCTGTCTGCCTGGGGCGGTAAAGACAGAAGGGAGGAGGAGCCCTCTGATGGGGGATAACAAGTAACCTTCCCCAGCAGACCAGCCTGTCTGCTACCTAGGAGCTCCTAAGGCTTACTCCAGGAGAGCAGTAGGAAATTGCCAAAGTCAACCTTCACCTTCTTGCAAGTCTGCCCTTGTCATTTGTTCAATACAGTGGTTTCCATCATTCTGACACCAGAGGTCTGTATCAAGACCATGTGACCATGCTCAAACCATAATCTCCCAAATCAGTCAAGCCCTTGAGACCAGCTTGGCTTAGTCTC